ACCCTCAACCAGCTGGGCGCGCAGGTGGGGCGGCGGGACCACCGGGCGAGGGAGGGACGGACGGASGGAGGGACGGACGGAGGGAGGGAGGGCGAGCGGCCGCGCGGTGCCAGGCCCGAAATGGCGGCGCCGGCGGCCCTGCTGCGGTGACCACGGTGCCCGGGCTCGCGCAGCGCCCGGCTCCCGTCCTGCGCCGGCACAGGAGGCGCTGCCTCCCGCCTGGGCCCCCAAAGGGGTTGTGCTGCGCCGCCGTGCGTGGAGCCAGCTTGGCACAGTGCAGCATGGCACAGTGCAGCCCAGCCCAGCATGGCCTGRCATGGTGCAGCRTGGCACGGTGCAGCATGGCACGGTGCAGGCTGGCATGCCCTGGCGCAGTGCAGCCCAGCACGGCAGGGCCTGGCACAGTGCAACATGGCACAGCACAGCATGGCACAGCGTGGCGCAGCCCAGCATGGCCTGGCACGGTGCACCTCAGCATGGCCTGGCATGGTGCAGCACGGCGTGGTGCAGCCCAGCACAATGCGGTGCAGCCTGGCACAGCATGGCATGGTGCAGCACCGCATGGCATGTCACGGTGTGGGACAGTGCAGTGCAGCCCAGCACGGTGCAGCCTGGCACAGCATGGCGCAGCGCAGCCTGGCACAGCATGGCATGGTGCAGCACAGTATGGCATGGTGTGGCAGAGTGCAGTGCAGCCCAGCACGGCATGGTGCAGCTTGGCATGGTGCAGCATGTCACATTGCAGCCCAGCCCAGCACAATGTTGCATGGCACAGTGTGGCATGGCATGGCACAGCCTGGCATGGCCCCACACAGCACAGCCTGTGCTGCCTGCTGCGCTCACCAAAACATCATCCACGTCCATCCCGGCTCTGGCAGGACTGGCAGCAGCGCCGCGCGCCTAGCGGGCACGGGGGAYGGTGCCCGCGGGTGCCCGCTCTAACACCTTGTCCTGTGTCCCCGCAGCAATTCTGCGCCCTGACCGACGTGCTCTTCCGCTTCCTCACGGAGCCCAAGGAGGTGAGGCCGCGCACACGGGACCCGGTGCCGCTCCGCGGCGCCCGGCGGGCACGGTGGGCACAGGCCACGCTGCGGCGCTCTGTCCCGAGCAGGTGGAGAGGTTCCTGGCCCAACTCTCGGACTTCGCYAGCACGAACAAGATCAGCCTGGGCGCCCTGAAGAGCATCGTCAAGAGCGTCCTCCTGGTGCCCAGCGGTAAGGGCCGTGCGCGGCCGTGCTGCCCGACCCGTGCCCAGCGCGGCCCCTGTCCTCGCGTGCCCAGCGCCGCGGGGCGCTCACTCTGCGCAGCGGGAGCCCAGCAAGGATTTAGCGTCCAAGAATCCAAAATGAATTATTGATAAWCCCCTGACCGCCTTCCTGTTAAAGCATCCCGCTAACTGAGTCAGGCTTTGACTTTGACAGAACCTGCACCCAGGTTTAACTGAACTCACTTAAACTCATTATTCATGAAATGCCCATACAACCTAGTGTCGCTGCAGTGAGCTTGATCCAGCCTATAAATCCACATGCTTGTTGCASCAGTTCAAACTTCCTGACTATTAGCGCGGTAGCTCGCAGGAGGACAACGTGCTGCCCGCGGCAGCGGTCAGTGCTTGCAGCGCGCTGAAGCAGGCTGCAAAGCACCGGTTGCAGGTCACGTAAATGAAACACGTGTCCTAGAAAACCACTCGTGTCCAGGGGGTTCTCACACATAAATAGTGCGGAGGTGCCCCTGAACACCCTGGCCTGGCTGCAGCGCTGGGTCGGGTTGTGATGCTGGTCTGGCTGCCAGACCAGCGCACCTCCGCTCAGGTCATCCCCTTGCTCCCCCTGTGCTGAGAAYCTTCTTACCTGGGTCCCCCAGGCCTCGCTTGCCCATAGCTCTCCTCACAGCCGTGCAYGACTTTTTTTCAGATCTAAACTCATCCTACTGCTTTGGACCATTCCCTCTGTCCAGGAGGAGCCCTGGATAATTTCCTTTGCTACAAGTGTTTTTAGGCATTAATCTGTACGGGACATTTTCTCCCTTCCTGCAGTGGGTACCTTGACCGTGGCTCCCGCGGCTGCTCACGGGCAGCAGCTCCGGCCCTGCTGCGTTCCCACGGGAGCACGTTGCAGTGGACRCCGTCCCCGCGAGCCCCCCGCGAATGGGGGCCGCCATCCCCTTGCATTAACGAGGGTGCTGCTCCTGCCCTTGGCAAGGGGATCCTCGTAAAGCCCCGCTTTGTGCTGCGGCTCAGAACAAAGCAGGCGGGCGCGCGGGGGACGTGCTGCACGCACGTGTTCACACCCGCGTCCCAAGCGCAGCAGGGAGGGCGAATTAGGAGCCCGGCAGCCTCAGCAGCCTCCCTTTAACAAGCAGAGCTTCTCCAGGAGAAGGAGCAGCAACTTCAAAACACGGCTGCTGCCGCCGTTTCCATGGATACCTGCACGGAAAGCTCCCTTTCCGTGGCTTTTAAACCCGGGACTGACTCTTAAAGCAAAGGCATCTGCAGAGACCGCAGCAGATGCAACCGTGTTTTGGCAACCTGCGGTTTGTTTCAAAACACAGCCCAGGAGCAGCGCTTTTCTATTGCTCTCCATCCCTACATTTATTTGACCCCATAAAGGCTGTTTTGACTCGATAAAAACTGATTTTTTTTTCCTTTGCGTTGTTTACTCAGGTGCCCTGAAGAGGAATCTGTCTTCTGAGCAAGTCCGGGCGGATTTTATTGCTCTAGGTAGGTCACCTGACTTTCGCTCAATAAAACCTGTCTAATATTTATCATATAGTAATCTCATCTGGTTTCTCCCACAGGACTCAGTGAAGAGAAAGCCAGTTATTTTGCAGAACAGGTATTAATATTTTTTGATTCTTTCTAAATTAACAAAATAATAGGCTTGGAGCGGGAACTTGTAAAACCCCAATGTGATAATGGGTGTACCAGCACTTTGGGCAATTGAGTCAAAACCAGCTCAGGAGCCTGAACRGCAGATCCTAGAGCAAGAGGTAGAAACACGTGGCCTAATGGCATTGCTGGCCTGGCGTGGCCTGTGCTGCACGTCTGTCCTGGCCCTCAGCTCCCTGGAGCTTCCACGGGATTGCCCTTCTCCTTCTCGCGCTTTGAGCCCACKTGCACAAACACCCGACTTTTTGTGCAGATAGTGGTACACTGAACAAGTGGCAAAACAAGCAAACCAACAAACCCAAACAATTTGCAGTAGTGCCAGGCGGATGGATCCTAGCAGGACCCAAACACCTTCGCGAGCCCTCCCGCCTGCATTAGCTCGTCCCTTTGCACCCATCGGGCTGGGGCTCCTGCCACGGCTCAGAGCAGCTCCAGGTTTGTGCTGAAGCCACAAGTGACACGAGTCAGGGCCGTTCTGAAGGGCTTGTTCATGTGTCTTTTGCTCCTGCAGTGGAAGCTGAATTCCCCTGCTCTGACCCGGCTGGCTGTTGGTCAGACGCTGATGATTAACCAGCTGGTAGATATGGAGTGGAAGTTTGGAGGTAACAGAGCTAAAACACCAGCGGAACAGGGGGAAGGCTGCACATGCAGGGGCTAAACTGCAGCAGCAGTTCTTGGCCAAAGAACTGCTTATTTCCCCCTTTGGGTAACAGACTGCCCCCCTTCTGATTCGCAGTGACYGCCGGCAGCAGTGAACTGGAGAAAGTGGGAAGTATCTTCCTGCAGGTAAATCTGCAGGATCTGCACCACGGCTCGGGCTGCAGCCCGGCTAAGGGCAAGCGAAGCAGGGCTGTGCAGGGCGCCTGTGCCCGCCCCGTGCCCGCGCCTGGCCGCTGCTGCCCGGTGCAGCTCGCGTGCATGTCCAGCAGCGCCGCCCGCTCCCCACGGCCGCTCGGCTCCGGCTGGCCAGGGGTGGAGGGAGGGCACCGTTTCCCGAGAGCCTCCCGATGCCCCGGGAATCTGTTCCTGCAGGGATATCTCCCCACAAGCCTCCCAGTCCAGCCGGGTGTCCCTCCGGCAGCCCGCGCTGCCGGGAGCTCCCGGCAGAACCTCTTCCATCATGCATGGAACACGGGCCCGCCTTCATTTAAACACCTCTGCTTTTTCTCCCACACAAGCTGAAGCTGGTGATCAAAAAAGGAGGCCAAATGGAAAACGTATACATGGGTAAGTTACCTGCTCCAGTAGAGAATATTTGGCTGCGTGGAAGGCGAGTTGCACCCCCAGGAGGGCGGCACTGCCGCTGCTCGGCGGGCACCGACCCAGCCGGGCTCAGTGCAAGAGAGCAGCGCTGCAGCGCCCGCCGTGCTGGGTGCTCCTCCGCCCGGCCCCCCTGCTGCAGTCACTGGGGTGTGGGTCCCGGGGCAGCCTCTGCACCCACCTTGGCCTCCGCCCG